CCCCTCGAGCCTCCCCTCCGGAGCTTGGTTGCAGAGTGAGAGCAAATATCTCACCTCCAGCTCTTCCATGGGACCCTCGCGCTTCCCAGATCAGCACACCCACTGGTAAGTCAGCGATTGTAGCGATAAGCCCATTAGCGAGAGCTCCGCCTGCCTGGTTAGCGCGGGCCAGCCATTAGGCTCCTGGGGCATATGGCATCCGCAAGCCGCTTCACGCCGCTCGGATTATTCCATATGAGACCACTTAAGCACTGGCTTCACGATCGAGTCCCCAGACGCGCATGGCACACGGTCACACCGAGTAACTGTTACTGTGCTGTGTCGCCACACCCTCAGGCCTTGGAACAACTCTTCGTTCCTACAGGCCAGAGTGCCTCTAGGACAGGCGTCCAGTCTTGTTGTCGTTTCAACAGATGCTTCCAGCACGGGTTGGGGGGGCTGTGCGTTGCGGGCATGCAGCTGCGGGCCTGTGGAAAGGAACCCAGTTGCATTGGCATATCGCCTGGAGCTGTTTGCAGTGTTCCTCGCGCTCCACCGCTTTTTTCCGGTGCTGGAGCAGCAACACGTGCTGGTCAGGACGGACAGCACGGTGGCAGTGGCGTATATCAACCGTATGGAGGGTATTCGCTCTCGCCGCATGTCTCAGCTTGCCCGCCGTCTGCTCCTCTGGAGTCATCAGCGGCTGAAATTGCTGCGGGCCATTCACATTTCAGGCAAGCTTAACCGTGCAGCCGATGCGCTCTCACGGCAGCCTTACGTCCTGGTGAATGGAGACTCCACCCCGAATCTGTTCAGCTGATATGGGCGCAATTCGGGGAAGCCCAGATCGTTTTGTTGCTTCCCCCGAGAACTCCCAATGCCAGTTGTTCTTTTCCCTGACCGAGGGCTCTCTCGGCACGGATGCACTGGCTCTCAGCTGGCCTCGGGGCATGCGCAATACGTGTTTCCCTCAGTAAGCCTGCTCACGCAGTTACTGTGCAAGGTCAGGGAGGACGAGGAACAGGTTGTCTGAACCTGGATGTCTGAGCTCTCCCTCCTCGCGATGGCCCTCCCCTGGCAAATCCCTTGAGAGAGCACCTACTCTCTCAGGAACAGGCACCATCTGGCACCCTCGCCCCGATCTTTGGAACCTCTACGGGTGGTCCTTAGAAGCGAGGAAGACTTAGGTAACCTACTGTTTGTGGTGGTTAATACCGTCACTCGGGCTAGAGCCCCCTCCTCGAGCGCCTATGCCCTGAAGTGGAGTCTATTCACTGAATGGTGCTGAGAAGACCCCCGAAATTTGCCAGATCAGCGTTGTGCTTTCTTACGCCAAGAGAAGCTGGAGAGCAGGCTGTTGCTCTCCACACTCAAGGTTACGTGGCTACCATCTCCGCTCCCATGAGGCGGTGGCTGGGAGCACCGTGGGAACGTATAACCTCATCATCCGGTCCCTCAGAGGTGCTAGCCGAATTAATCCACCTCGCCCCCCTCTCATGCCCTCTTAGGATCTCACCCTCGTTCACACGAGCCTGCGTCAGATCCCTTCGATCCTCGACTCAGTATCTTTAAGATTTCTGTCCCTGAAGACAGCTCTGCTGGTCGTGTTGATATCGATATGAGGGTCGGGGACCTGGAGGCATTTTTTCAGTCAGTGACTTGTGCCTGTAATTCAGGCTGGCTTACTCTCACATTCCTGAGACCCCGCCCCGGATATGTGCCAAGGTTCCTACCTCTCCGTTTTAATACCAGGTAGTGAGCCTGCAAACGCTGCCCCCGGAGGAGGCAGACCCAGCCTTACTTATCCAGTTTGCGCTTTGCGTATTTATCTGGACCGCACTCAGAGCTTTAGATCATCTGAGCAGCTCTTCGTCTGTTATGCGGTTGGCAGCAGGGAAGTGCCGCATCGAAACAGAATTGGCCCACTAGTTAGTGCATACCATCTCTCTCGCTTATCAAAGCCAAAGCGAGCCGTGTCCCCCGAGAGTGCTCCACTCCACTCGGAGCTTCGCATCCTGCACGCGACGCCTTTCTAACAGACATCTGTAGAGCTGCGGGCTGAGCGACACCTAATACATTTGCAAGGTTTTACAATCTGCGAGTGAAGCCAGTTTTCTCAAGGGTATTAGGTAACCCTTGGTGATTGAGGAAACAATTCGGTTGGGTGTTAAAACACGCTTGCTGCGCCATTCTCCCTAATACGGAGATACGTGCGCCTTTTTATCTGTCAGTAAATTTCCCCGTCAGGTGAGCCCTGCAGATTCCTCCAAGGCCCCCAGCACTGACTCAGCGGAGGAGTCACTTGCTGGTCCACTACATTGTAGGTCTGCCCGCTGGTCAGCCCGCTTTTTGGGTAAAGGTGCCCGCTTTGCGTGGTCCCCATTAGGCGATCACATATGCTTATTCAGCCGCGGTGCAGTCCCACCTCACGGGCAGACCTGTGTCTTCCCTCTCCGCTAACCATCCTATTATATGCATACTCCCCCTTTCAGGGCTAGTCCATATGTATTTTTTGCCAACATATCTCCCTCATTGGGGGCAGTTGGCCTCTGCAGCGTCCTCCCTATCGGGACTGCACGCTTCCCAATGTACTGTCGTATTATTCCTAGAATTATCTAGACGCTTACGATTCCCAAAAAATATATCTAAATCCATAAAACTTCTGTTGAAGTGGGATAAGTAAGGGCCAGGGACCACGTTGGAGGACCGCGCCTCTCATGATGTAGGAGCGTTCACGCTTGCTTGACTATCCTCTCATCGGAGACGTTGGTAAGGTGCAGTCATTATGGTGTTTTCCATAGCTTCTCCCATTCGTGGATTTATGTAGTTCATATCCACCAATAGCATTGAAGTTCCCCATCCGAAGGGGAACGCTCTGGTTACTAAAGTAACCCTCGTTCCCCGAGGAGGGGAACGGAAATGCTATTTACCATCGCCATAATGACTGTCCCTTGGCTGTTAGTTCAAGTCTCTTCAGCTTAAAAGGATAGCGTGTGCGTGCTCCACCTGTGCTTATATGCGGAGATAAATGGCAATGAAGCACACGTGCGCAAGATTACCCTGCCAATTACATACTCTTTCAGACAATTGGCTTTCTGAACCAAAACCTCCCATTCGTGGATTTATATAGTTCAAATTTACCAATAGGTTTACTTTAGTAACCAGAGCGTTACAGCCTTAAAAGAAATAAAACACATTCAATCTTTCAACAGTTCAGCAGAGAATCATTAAGCAACTCTACAAACAGTATCAACAGCTTCACTTATTACTAACTTGCTTAAATTGAACTTTATCAGGATCTACTGAAATTCACTGAAAATAATAAACTGTACTATGGCAAGCGTTAAAAAAAAAGAATTATATATATATATATATATATATATATATATATATATATATATATATATATATATATATATATATAAAAATGCTGGTCTTCCCACCTCCAGTCGCAATGACTTCTGAGACTTGTGGTCTTGAGTATTGGAGCTGAACTTAGGCAGCTGATGATGACATTGCACGAGAACACGAGGACGCAAGACCACTGAAGAATGCAGATTGAGAAACAGCCATACTCTGATTCTTGATGTCTGTTATTTGGTTCTGATGTAAGGACAATGTCCATGTTTGTTTGCTTAATAAAGTATAGCTAAATAAAGCATCTACCTTCTTCAATACATCCAATTCCAAATGATCAACCTAATTAGAAATTAATTTAAAAATGATAATAATTATGATTCTGTAAATTTGACTATTTAACATGATAACAATTACATATTATTACAACATTCAAAGAGAGAATAAGATGAGAAATGGAGTCAAAGAGCCCTAGAAAAGCCACTGCTGTTCTCATCAATGGTGACGTCTAACAAGATTATTTCCAATGAATCTTGCAAAGGGCTTTTGTAGACATCTGACAGAAACAAAGTCAAGCATGTTATGAATGATAAGTTTTTAAAATATTGAATGTGTTATATTTTTTTAAGGCTGTGAATGAAGTCTTGTAGTCTTGTGTTTCTCTTCAGGAAAGCTGCAGTTACACTGGACTTTTCTCCCAATAGACTTGCATTTATATGCACGCGGATGCATCAGACTGGAAACGCAAGCTTGTGCAACAAGTTCGCTGCATTGGAAAGTTTAAGCTTGGTGAACTCTGACCTGCGAAATCGCATCACATGATTGCGTGAGTCCAGTCGAAGATCAAAACCTCTTTGGACAGAAATGTAAAATATGGACCAATCATTCGCTTTTCTAAATATCTAATCATCTTGTTGAATCTCACCCCTTTTCATAGCGCCATACAACAGATATTCGCATGCTCAAAATCTAGTGTGACGTTAATTTAGCTTGCTAACAGCAGGTGTACATTATTAATGCTCAATCAACACATACTTAATCACTTATTAACTCATTAACTTAAGCACCGAGTTCAAAACTCTTCAAATGAGTAGATCAGTAAATTTTGAGTTAACTACACTCATTTCATTTGACTGTTGGGTTTTACAGTCTTGATGCAAATGCCATTAGCCGATTCATTTATTTTTGTTCATTTTGATGGCTATTTATAAGTACACAAATTAAAAAGTTTTTTTTAAAAAAGTGTTTTATTCAATTCTATTTCAAACTGTGTTTTAGTTGATTCTCAGTGTTAGCAAACATATTGCCTAAAATAAATTTAAAGTAAGTTGATTTTGACAAGTTTGTTTTGTCTGGTAAATGTGTGTTTCAATATCACAGAATTATGATAAATATAAGAACTTAATAACCTTATGTTAAGTGACATTAATCAATTTAAAACAAACACAAGTCTATTAGACATTTGTTTAAGTATCAAAAAAACAAAAACAAAAAAAAACAATCTCTTCGAATAAACAAACCCATCCCATCCATTCACCACAAATCCAAACATCCATCAGTTGACCACAAATACGCTTAAAATACTATAAAATACAAATTAACCCCCTTTTTCCTGTCACTACACACTGTAAAAAATCCAACTTGCAAATTGTTAACTCAAATCAAAATTGTAAGTTGGGTGGACATATTTTGAGCCCAGTGTTGAGTTTACTTTTAAAAATGAGTTAACTGAAGGTTTAAAACTGGTTTGTTCAATGAAAGTAAATACTTAAGTTGAGCAGACTTTACATTTTGAGTTCTTCACTCGATCATTTACTTCCCGTCTTTGCACATGCTCAGTCTGTCTTCGGGTGCCATTTTGCACGAGGTGTCCTCTCACCAGCAGCAGCTGCCATCTCCTGATTCAGGTAAGCTTTGTTTTAGCTTTATTATCAAAATTAATCTAAATAGCGTGCAAATCTAAAGTAAAATGTAATGTTATGTTCCCAAAAAACTAAGTTACATCGTGTGAAGATCATTTCTGACAAGCTCGGGCTAACAAGCTAGCCACCTGTGAAGTTTGCTTCATTTGAAGAACTGTTTAACGTTAATTTGCTTCTTAAACTGGAGGGAAATGTAGTGAAATATTGTTGTTGCAAACAGACATATCTGAGCGGCCGGTCACCACTGTATTGTTAACCCTGTTGTGTCTGTATTAAAACAGCAATGCGATAACATTAAAACCACTTCAAAATAATATTTAGCATACCACTTTAAATATACAGACACTAGTAGTGTACATATAGTATTCCAGGAGCTTGTGGTTTTTATGATTATTTATTTGGCATACATTAACCATTTATGAGTTAAGTAACATGTATGTATGTATTATTTAAATCTTCTCTTTTTATGTTTGCAATATTTATTTTATATTGTGCTTTTTAAAAACATCAGTTTAATTTATGAAAACAAATTGACCTGCAATGTTACATTTTTATTTACTTTTTTATAGGTTTGGAATGCAGTATAAGTTTTGCAAATTTGTAAACAGTAGCTGAGAAGTTACACTACAGACTACATCGCTATCAAGGACCATCCTGGCAGCAGCACTTTAAAGACTGTAGGTGCATTAAAATCACATTTGACATTAGCACATTAACAGTCTGCTGCAGTTACTGACTGTTTGATTTTTTTAACCTCCTGTAGCTGATGTCCGAAAACAGTGGCCTGCATGTTTTTGGGAGTTTAGGCAAGTTTGCATTTGAGATTATTTATTTCAAAATGTATAACCCTTGTTCACAAATCATACTATTCATTTTTTTATGGTCTGTTTGTAGGTCTATGCTGAGTTTTACAGGATTACTCAAACCAACCTCAAAGATATCTTCTCTTTTTCGGATGAATACGCTATCAAGTTTTATGGATCATGTTGTGGGCGATATGGAGAGATAATAAGAACCGCCCTGGACCAACTGGACAATCAAGTAATTATTTAGCATTCAATCATATCACTGATTAAAGGGGGGCATATTAAACTTTATGGAGTTTACCATGGAGTTTCTCTTTTTGTGTGCAATATTGGAATTCATGCAGGTAATTAATCTTTGAAGTTACAAAACAGTTTGTTCCCTAAAAGAAAAGTTTGTAGCACTGTTTTCACCTCTGTAAAGGATGCTACATTTTCATCACTTAGTCTTTAGTAGAACAACCATGACTGAGTTCGGCTGACCAGGAAGTGAAAACAGGTGCTGCAACAATAATTATAAAGCAAATTTCATTTTTAATAATTAAAACATGTTGGGAATTTCTGATCAAAATGACTAACCTGTCAATAACCAAAATTAATGCCCTTCAATTGTAAAGTGGTGCCACCTGTCATCTCTCAGGGTCTGAGCATCTGGTTTAATGTGACAATAGCTGATGACCTATGGCAAGCCGTTTTAACTTTTATTCTATAACCCGTACTAGTATCTATTTTCTTGTTACTAGTACTTATCCATTTTCTTAGTTCTTTTCCATTAAGTACTAACTAGTACTTATTTATTAGTTACTAGTACTTAATTATTAGTTACTAGTACTTATTTATTAGATACTAGAACTTATTTATTAGTTACTAGTACTTATTTATTAGATACTAGTACTTATTTAATAGATACTAGTTCTTATTTATTAGTTACTAGTTCTTATTTATTAGTTACTAGTACTTATTTATTAGTTACTAGTTCTTATTTATTAGATACTAGTTCTTATTTATTAGTTACTAGTACTTATTTATTTGTTACTAGTACTTATTTATTAGATACTAGTACTTATTTATTAGTTACTAGTACTTATTTTAATAGTGACTAGTAACTATTCTGTTGTTACTCGTAATGAATTAAAAATTTTCCCATTCATTTCTATGGGATCTCTAATTGAGATATCAACTATTCAGTTTTGACTAGTATGTATTCCAGCTGTGACTAGTGCATATTTTTATCTACTAGTAGTTAATCATTAGGTACTAGTACCTATTACTGAGATGCTACTACCTAATTAATAGATACTAGTACTTATGTATTAGATACTAGTCCTTATTCATTAGGTACTAGTATCTATTTAATAGATACTAGTACTTATTTATTAGATACTGGTACTTATTAAATAGCTTACTAATGTTTATTCATGTAGAGTTGATGCTTAACGGATAATCAATTCACTATTTGCTAATGCTTAATAAATGATTCATTATTATAAAAGTGTTACCTGAAATGTTTTATAAATAGAAGGTATATAAATGACTGTGTTACTGACATTACTACCTTCAGTTTCCAAATTAAGTTGCTTTGCCTTTGCTTTTTTTTACCTTGCTTTTTGGAGATGTTTGTGATTTAGCAGTAAAAATAGTTTTTCATCCTCTTTTTATGTTTCTTTTTACTGCAGGACACAGAGCCAGAAGATATTTGCACAATAGAGATGGAGATGGACATCCTTAGCACTGTTGAAGATGATGTTGCCACTCTTCAGCCCAACCTAAATGTAAGGTGCCTGTCTGTGGTTCTGGAAGAGCAAATCGTGCTGGAAAAGATCTTCCGACAGCTGTTGTTCTCCTCTTTGGTTTGATTAATTTCCTCATTATGAACTACCCCAAAGAACTGAAACACATCTTTGAAACTGGACGTTTTTAAAATTATAGAACTGATGGGTAACAAAATTAAAATATCGTGACAAAACTAATTACTCTTGCACTTTGAAAAAACTGTTGATAGTGCAAGCATTTTAAATATTACTTTTGCTTAACTCGAGCACTTAAAAGGCAATATAGGATTTGAGGATTTACCTTTTTGTTGCCTCTTTTCCTTCTCTGGACTGCAGTACATTTCATTTGGACAGAAAACTGTTTGCAGAATTGTCAATAAATATATTCTTTGATATTGTGTTTTATAGTGTGTTTTGTAATCTCTTAACTTCATACTTAGAGTCATACAGGTATTTGTTTGAGAAGCGCAGATATAAGATTTCCATAAAATTATGAATTAAAAGATAAAGATTAAATCAACTTAAAAAATTAAGGCAACCAGCTGCACAGCTTTGAGTTAACTGAACTTCTGTTAAGTTGTGCCAACTCATTTATTACAGTTTACTCAACCCCTGTTTAATTTTAGGCAAACTCATAATGACAAGTTAGATGAACTTAGGCTTGAAAGTTGTCATGACTTAAACCAGCCATTTCAGTCAACTTAAAAAAATAATTTGGCACAACTTCAACCACTGAAGTTGAGTAAACTCAAAATTTCTTTGCAGCCGGTTGCTTTAAAATTTTAAGTTTACTCAACTTTTTATTTTTTACAGTGCAGTATCCAATGGTGTCTTTGTAAAGCCAACCACAGGATTCACGTGGAGAGGTTTCCACTCTATATTTGGCCTTTATACCTTATTTGCAGACTTCCAGTCAGTGATACCTACACAAAAAATATATTATCAACTAAAAATCTATTTAAAGGGCCTGTTTACCTGTTATTAAGATTTAATACTAAAATTGTGGTTTTTCTGAGTGTGCCAGTTTAGGTTCAGTTCAAAACACAATTCAAATTTTTTATTATAATTTATTATAATATTCCTCCATGTTTCCCAATGTCTAAACACAGCACCCCTTTCTAAAGCTACATAAACACAACCAAAACTTTCTCACTTCAAAACTCAAACTTTTACACCAAAAGAGCAACTCAAAGCATTAAAAAATGTAAACACTATACACATCATTACACACTACAGCAAAACAATTGAAAACACAATGCTCAATTTGTGAGTAGGTTCGTTGTTTCATAATTGCCAATGTATATTTTTAGAAACTTTACAGTAACAGATCTTCTTATATCTGTTCAGAGTATTATTTGTAAGTTTCACATGAGGAGTATAAATCTATAGAAAATACTAGGGATGTCCCGATACAACATTTTAACTTCCGATATTGTCCCTACTATTATTTGCCATATAGCGATTAAGCCCCTGGCAATTTGCATTCAAAACAATCTAAAAATTTATGGTGTAACTATATTGACAATATAGACAACATAAGATACTGCTTTACGCGTATGATATTTTGCTAACTTACCCACAAAGATCCTTACATGAATTAACTGATTTGATTATGCAATTTGGAGTTATTTCCGGATATAAAGTTAATTTTCATAAATCAGAAATAATGCCCTTAGGGTCATTAGACGTATCAGAGCCCAATTTTATCAAACCAATCAAATGGTCCCCTAGGGGTATCACATACCTGGCAGTAAGTCAGATTAAGTAATTAGAAATACCAAGAGTTTCATCAAAGCAAAGTGAATCAGCTACTACACCCCTCCCTGCTGGAATCAGCATCCAGAAATGATCAGTTGTGCTCTAACAGGCACATTCAAATCAAGACTAAAACATGTGTTTAGCTGTGCCTTTACTGAATGAGCACTGTGCTGCGTTCAACAGATTGCACTGTTGTGTCTTTCTTTTCTTTTTTATTCATTTAAAACCTATTTTAACACATTGCAATCTCTTTTTAAATATTTAAATTTTTGTTTTGTTTTTATGTTCTTGTTTCTTTAATTCATGTGTAAAGCACTTTGAATTACCATTGTGTATTAAATGTGCTATATAAATGAGCATGCCTTGCCTTGATTTTTTAGAGGAAATTGTTAAGAAATCCTGATATTAATACTGAAACCCGATAACTTGATATTAATTAAAAAATGAAACCAATAAATGTATAAGACATAATACAGGTGATAATGGTTATAAGGCTTAAATAGACCAATGCATTAAATGTAAATTAGAAAAAAAGTTTGGAGTTCCTGTGAAACAAAGGGCTTTATTTTGACGTCTATGCGCAGAACGCAAAGCACAGAGCGCAAATGCTTTCAGGGCGTGTCAGAACGCATTTTTGCTAATTTAAGGACGGGAAAATGTGCTTTGTGCCAAGGCGCATGGGCTAAAAGGGTTGAGTTTATTTTCTTAATGAGTTATAGATGTGTTTTGAGAATAAACCAATTAGAGTCTCATCTCCCATTCCCTTTAAGACCCAGCTTCGTCGCGCAAAGAGCGCATTCGCTATTTACAGGATGCAAAGTAAGTCTAAGTGGAAAAAATGAGCATTTCACAAGCAAACAGTTAACAGTTGACAGTTTTTTTTAACAGAAAACTGTTAAACAGAGCATCTACTGTGTAAGAAAGAGAGATAATGGAACTACTTTCACATTCGCTCTTGGATAGGGAAACCTTTAGGCACAGACATCAATTAGCCTTTAAATAATTAAATTCGTTTGTTGAGCGCAAAGATTTGTTTCAAAACTATTTCTAAATTCAGTTCTAATTTCTAGCAAACGAATAAATAAACGATAATGACCAAGTGTGGTCAAAATACTGAGTTATTTCCAAATACACCTGCCATGCCCCATATGGTCTAAAACCTGACAGGTGGGCAAATCTAAGCTTGTTTTTAATAAAACAAATATAAATATGGATATATTAAATAATACTGCTAATGATAATAACATTATACAAAAGCAAATTGTTATGAATGAACTGAAAAGCCTCCCGAGATGAAGAAGACATAAAAGCAGTGATTTTTCATATTTATGTGGGCTAGAAAATAATATGTTTTGTAATATTTTAATCCTTTATATTTATATCTATTCTTATTATATCCTATATATCCTTAATATTTACATTTTTTCATATGTAAAGATATTTGCCTATTGCTTTCTTGTGCGTATTAAGCAGTGCGTAAGCGAGGCGCAACTCTGCGCCGGAGTTTAGACCTGGTTAGTTTTGGTCTAATGAGAAATCTATTTTAGTTTCTTAAAATAGCTACGCGCGCCAGCGGTCCGCCTCAGAACGCCTTCCTTTTTAGACCAGAACGCCTATGGGCGCACAAATGAGCACTAATGCATTTGCTATTTAAACAGCGTAGAGCAACGCCTCAAAACGACTCTTGCGCCAAGCTAAAACTACCAAAAGACTATTGCGCCGCGCATTGCGCCACACTGCGCCGGGTGTATGATAGGGCCCATATTATGTAAAATAAAAAAAGAAGTTAAAAAGGTTAAAGAAAAGGAAGCTAAATTTAAGTATATATATATATATATATATATATATATATATATATATATATATATATATATATATATATATATATATATATATATATATATATATATATATATATATATATATATATATATATATATATATATATATATATATATATATATATATATATATATATAGCTAAAGATGTTTTAGGGAGATTTCATTTGGATATTGATTATTCCTGTGATTTTTGTTTTATAGAAAAAATCTGTTTCCGTGATTGTATATACAAAGTATTTTCTGGGTGAATAAGGAAACTTTTCAAAACAAATATCATATCCAAGTTAAAAGAAAAAAAAATTATATTTGCATTTATCATGTCAATGTAACAATTTCACAAGTTAACAAGTTCACATGTATAAAAAAGGGATCTGGATCCAAGCCAAACTTTATTCATTTTATTCAAGAGACTATAGGCCTTATTCACTAGTTTGATGAACAATTAGCCTATTAATAAAAATGCAAAGATGTAATTCTTGTAAAATCTTCAAGAATATAAGATTTTTAATGAATGAATGTTTTGTCTGCACTCTGGCATATGTTTTGTATGTTGTTTTATATTGTACAATTTTGTATTTTCTTTGATAATAGATAGATAGTCCAGATTTCACTGAAGTACCACATCTATCTAATATTCACAGATATTTAATACTCTTTTAAAAGTAAATAAACGCACTGTATATGTTTTCTTCTTAGTAATTATTATTAATAATAATATTGATAAAACGTTCTGTGATTGTTTTGTCGTCTTCTGGACCCTGCAGTGTCAGTGCAAGTGGTGCTGGGAGTTCCACCTTGTCTCCAAACCATGAGAGGTCACTCTGACAACAATCTATCTTGTTACTCAGTCTCGATTTCTTCGTACACGTGCGGAAACTACGTACGCAACAACAACAACAGCAGCAACGCTCGACAAGAGGAGGTCCAATTTGTTTAACCTTATGGTTTATAGCTCATACTTGTAGCGCCATGGTCAATATTGGACTCAGCAAAGTGGATGATGCAATTGTAGCAAAGCACCCGGTGCGTCTATTTCATGTTGCAGATCTGTTTTTCTTTCTTTTTTTTAATCCAAAACATTTTTTTTTTTTTAGTAAAACCGTCATAAAATGTGTAATTGCTTTATGAATAGACACTTATCTTATTGAAGAGAAACGTGTTAATTTTGGCTTGAATTGAATAGGGGAAATTGTAACAGTTTAAGTCAGTCATTTGATAAATAACATTTTATTTATAAAAAACTACTTTAAGTATATATACTTTAACTTTATTCTTTAGCTTATCCTGCTTACCAAGATTTATTTGATAAAAAATACAGTACGAATTGTAAAATGTTATTTCACTATAAAATAACTGTTTAAAAGTGGTTCTTAATTTATTTAATAATTTATTCTGGTGATGTTAAAGGTGAATTCTCAGCTTCATTTTCAGCTACTCCAGACTTAAGTGACATGATCCTTCAGAAATCACTCAAATATTGATTTATTTATTTATTATGATTGTTATTATTATAAGTAATATAAGCAATAATGACTGAAGTAATAATTTCATTTGCAAAAAGAAAGCAGTTATGTAATTTTTTATTTTATTTTTCACAATTAATAAATGCCTTGATGTGCAGAATAATTTTATTTAAAAACCCCAACCCCCAAACTTTTGACTGGTAGTATATAGCTTATTTACATTTTATTTAGCTCAGATGAGCTGCCTGGAATAAAACTCAAGAAAAATAAGCTTTTGAGCCAAAGATCTGCGATACATCTCGTGACAACTAGCCATATTCTTGTCCATAATTCCATAATAATTTAATGGTGGTGATATTTTGTTGTCCTCAGGGCTTGCAGCAGTATGTTGCCTGTCAGTCTTATGCCTTTATGAAAGGCACAGCAAGCTTCATACTAGGTTAGTTTACATTTATATCATAAATAAAAGTCGTTTCTGATCATTATCTGTGTATCAGATTTTTCTGAGAAAGGACACCCTGTGTTCTTACAAGTGTCTTCATTAAACATTCAAGAAAAATCTGTTGCTTATTATATTTGACTATAGTTTGCTTAACAAAAAAAAATTGATCTCATTATGAATTTAGGCATTCTTTCATTAATTTTTTCTCTTTTGTTTTTACTTTTTCATACAGGCACAGTGGGTATATTTTTTGGACAGAGAGCACTTCAGAAAATAATCAAATATCCCCTTCAGTGGAACCTTTTTGTATCTATTGGTAAGCCTGATGCATGTTTCAGTATAATGCAAGAAAAGACTAATATAATAAATACACAATATTTGTAATAATATAATAAATGCACAAAATAAGCATAAAACTTTAGGTGGTTGAAGTGACTAAAATGCTGTGACTTACAAATGTTTTATGATAATTTTGTTGACAACCAAACAAGAATTCATTTCTTTTATTGAAAGTCAATTATATTGTAAACCTTCCGTGGGCGAGATATTTTCAGAAAATAATTTTAATAATTATATAATATTATAAATTACTTACCTTTCACTCCACACATTTTTTTTAAACGGTGGAAAAAAGATCTATTCAAATCGTGCATTGATTTTTTTCTGAAATATCTTTATGACTACAAAGCCGTAATGCAGATACAGAAATACACTACAAACAGCACAGACCACAACATTGTCGAGGAACACCAAAAAAAGGACAAATCTGGCTGCTTCCTCCTATATACAAAAAAAAAAAAAAAACTGTTTGAGTACATGAGGGGTATTGCACAAAAGTAGAATTAGGGATACCAGAGACAGCATGTCTTGACAAGACTTATTATGCTTCAAATAAAATTTGTATACAATTGTTTTAATAATAGTGTTGAGTTTGCTGGTAGGGAACCAGTTCACCACAATAGTCCTGTCAGAGACATAGAGAGGCAGCTTTCTTGATCTGATGCTTTATTTAAAAGTTCATCTATCAAATGGGCACAATATTGATATTACTTACTGGGTTCATAGAGCTTGAAAGCATTAAAACCAGAAGTCCACTGTGCATTCACCATGTGTGGCTTTACCAAGAACAGTTATCATGCCAACAGGGTGCTTTAACATTTGCCAGCACACATCTTGGGAAGGGTGGCACATTTTAAGTGAGCCTTTTTTAGAGCCACACCCCTGATTTATGAAAATCTAAAGGAAATCTGTAAAATATAAAAAGACTGAAGTCTGTTTGTGTATCTATTTCAGTGAATAAATGGAGGCATGTCTCAAATCCCCATGCAACCTTTATTGCAAGATGAGCAAATTGTACTAAAGCATCACTTCGGGGGCCACTTCAGTTTTTTAAGGCCCATCTTTCCGACATTTTCTTTAAAATGTTTTACATGAAATGCTCATCTAAATTTAAACCTTTATTTAAAATGAACCTTTATTTAAAAAAATAAAAATAGGCCTACATTCTAAGAGAACCAAAGGTCAACAGGGAGATTGCAAAAGACCACCTTTTACTATTGAATATCTACTATTCAAAAATATACAGACAAATGTAAAATACAGTTAAACACTCTAAATTTGTTGAGACGTGTCAATCTGATGGAGGTTGAGTTTGCAGCCGGATATTATTGGTAGATCACTGACAGGAACAGTTCCGCCAGAGTGCATCTGAAGCTCATATGCAAGTTTATTTTACAATCTATGGCAAAAACACCATTGAGCCTCACTAGATCCTCCTGTATGGGTGCGCGCTCGTTATGAAACACTCACAGGACATTAATTTGGACAACTATGTGGATATCTTAAATAGATCAAAAAGTGCATTACTTCGTTAATTTTCTTCAATCATTATAATATAGCATATTAATCATATTAAAATTATAGTATAATATTGAGAGTTAATTTTAAGTTTATTCAGAGTTTATCTCGCGGCCCACCTGCAGGATTGCTGAGGCCCACTAGAGGGCCGCAGCCCACCGGTTGATAATCCCTGGACTAGAGGACATTGAGGTTAATCAGGACATTTATTATGAAGATATTTGCAAATATTTACCCAATCATGTGTGTCCATTTGATCTATTTTGTTTATTTTATCTATACCCTTATCTCTTTTATTTAGGTTTTTTTCTTTTTTTTATTTAATCTGGAGTATTATAATGAATTCCCTAATCATATAATCATTGTGTATATATCTCTTCCCATACAAAAATCTGAAATGACCATATACACAGTTACTTCTGATACATTTGTCTGTACAGTTTTTGTCCTATAACTTCCAACATAAACAAAATACTCACCTCTCAGATATCCAACAACACAGCAGACACTAAACAGGATAGCAATCAGAAACCTCTGTTTTTAGTGGTACTTAAGGAACTACATATTTATATAAATACCATTAAGGATAGAACAAACAAAAAAACTGTTAAAACTGTATATTTGTTTGATACTTTTAAGTTATTGTGAGTTAACAAGGCCTAGCATTATTTATTTGTAATATTTTTTAAAATCTATATTATTTTGTTTTACCTATTGAGTTCTTGTATCCCTATATAACCTTTTATATACTTTTCTTTTTTGTATGTCTCTGGCATTGTTCTGTATGTATCGTTCATGCATTAATATAAAAATATAAAAAGACTCTAAACAGGAAGCAGCAGGCTTGTTACAATTTGTGGCCCCAACACTTTTACTTAGTAATCTTTACTATTTGCATCATATTTCTGTATTTGTTATGAGAATGTGTACATGTGTGTTGTTAAACTGATAAAGATGTTTTCCCAATTTTGCTGTGGTTCATGCATTCAATTTGCATTTGAGCTCTCTTGACCACTATAGTGAACAGTTTTTCCACTTAGGTTTGCTGATAGTAGAATATAAACTTTGATTTTATGGTAAATTGCTATAGCATGTTCCTTCAGCAATACATTTCTTACATTTCGATTGATTACATTATTATGTTAAATTAGGTGGAAAAATCCAAAACTAATAAAATTAAATTAAAATTAAATTCTTTTAGTTGAAAATTATTACATTATATATTTATGACATTACAGTTGTGTGAAGTTTTAAACATATGCTTGTAATATTACATCATGTGTATATTATTATTTGTGTAATATAATGTAATTACGCTTTGTTTTTCTTTGCAGTTTCTTCCTCTGTATTCAGCTATTCGGTAACTCGCTGGGAAACCATGAAGTGTTCCGATGTCTGGTTATTTCTTGAGACAGGAAATATTCCTGACAGAAACTCTGACAGTAAGTGTTTAGTCGTTTGCTTGCTGCACTTTATTAATATGTAGGTAAAAAACAGCTGGAATAATGTATCAGTTTAATATGTTGCAGTGTAGACTCAAGAGATAAGCTATTAAATTTCTTTGTTCCTAAACTACAATACTTTCATAATTTTGTATCTACAATCGCAAGGACTTCAGTATTCATTATAAAACATATAGTGCAAAATCTTGGATCCAAAAGCTAGCACACAAATGAATGAGAACGAGCTTAAGATGGTCATGGCTACACTGTGGCTATGTATGCAAGCAAAAACTAAATTAAATGGCACATTTCCTACGATCCACTTCTTTTTTAAACATGCTTGTAAAATGGTATATTTTGACTAGGACCCCATTGTTGAGGAGTCTTACCATTTGTTTTTTTTTTTAACTAGAGGAAGAACCAGAAACTTCTGCTGATTCTACAACCACACAACATGAGGATGTGCTGGAATAAAGACCTTTGTGCCATAGTCTGAGTGGCAGATAAGATACTGTTACTTTAATAAATCAGGGAGTTGAATGACATGATTTCAGTAATAAGTTTAGCCTTTCAAATCAAATTGTGTGTGTGTCAGTGAATAATTCACATATATAGGATGTATTATTACTTATCTGGGTTGCACAATAAAATATGTTTATAAAAGTAGTGTTTTCTAGCATGATTACCATTTTAAATCATTTTTGTAATTTTGAAGATATTCATCAGTAAGTCTTTAGGGCACATAGTTTAACCCTTTTTAAAGATTTAATATTAATATTATGGTTCTTCTGAGTGTGCCAGTTTAGGTTCAGTTAAAAACAATTGTATTTTTTATTATAATGTGTTAAAAAGTGTAATTTTGGGGGGCGTGTACACAGGTCGCTGTTTTAGGGGTGTGTTGCTTCACATGAAAATTAGTTTCGACTTCCTGCCCAATGTAACAAGGGGCAGAGCCAAGAGCTCCCCTGCTTTGTGTTTGGCAACAGACAGGCAGGCAGACAGAGAGAAGCAACATGAGTAAGAGGACTAGCATTCAGCCGTACATGTATGACTCGGACACAGACCAAGCAGAGAGTACATAATCATTTGTGTCTTTGTATAGTTTTACAGCCAACTGTGTGCAGGTTTACAGTTCCAAGCTTGTACACCTAGACTAATAACCACACACACTAAATTAACTTTGACTGGGGCACCGGATGCACTTTGACACGGCACACCAGACACGCACATTCGGATGTTATTTAAAATGTAACTATTCAGATGGCGCTCTGTGGTGTGGCAGAAATATAAAGTGTCCCGAATCGTGGCTAGGCGCCACAGACAGTCGCCGACTTGAAGCACTGTTGTGTGCACCCTGATAGAAAACTATGTTTAGAATTCTAAAATGCTTGACGCTGCGTGGCACGACGCTGAGCGTCGCAGAGCAGCACTTCTGGTGTGCAACCTGCAGGCAAGTTTTTCATGTTATTTCCAATCGAGCGTCATGCATGTGAGGTAACGTGCTCGCACTTTCTAGCTACACCTAGTCAATATCACAGGGAGCTTCTGTGACCGCGAGAAATGCAAACGTCTGAAGTTTAAGGTAGATGCAATGAAAAGTACACATTTGCAAACCTACCTGAAGTTAAAAAATAATTCAGATTACAGCAATCATGTGGTGAATGTTGATCTTGTGTTGAGCCCAATGAACCTTTTATCTAAAAATAGAGCAAGGGTGTTTCTTCATTGACATTGCTTTGACTCACACGCTGAAAATGGCGGACGTGAAACAACAAACTGAGGATATGGTGATGCGCGCCTGTCAATCAATATTGGTGGGCGGGCGGATCGCACTCCTACGTCAAGTTGAGGTCGATCTAAAAACCCCTCCAATTAGTCCACTGTTTTTATGTTGTTAAATTAAAAAAAAGGACTGCGTGTTTATATCACCCCAATATGACAGTCTATACACTATACCTACACACATGTCTGTCCAAACAGCTTGAATAGTGGATTTTTTTACCATAGGTTGCTTTTAAGGTGCAAACTACATCTTTCTCTTTCATTATAAAATATCTAATTTCCAAGAGCATTGCAATCACATGTATTAAACATTGAACATTGGGTCATGCTATTCCATTTGTGTCAATAGCAGTTGATGAGTTGCAAAGGAACAAATAATGTCCTATGTATTTACAAAGCTCGAAGTTATTATTTTAAGTGTTCTTGTTAACGATATATAAAATACTTTTAGAGAAACATTCAATGAAAAAAAAAATGTGATTACTCATTTTGAGTGGCACAGTGGCCTCGCAGCAAGATGGTCACTGGTGTGAATCCTGGCTGGGTCAGTTGGGCATTTCTGTGTGGAGTTTGCATGGGTTTCCTCCAGGTGCTTCGTTTTTTCCCTACAGTCTATAAACATGCGCTATAGGTAAATTAAACTAAATTGATTGTAGTGTGTGTGTGTGTGTGTAAAAGCAAGAGTGTAAGGGTGTTTCTCAGTACTGAGTTTCTCAAAAATTTGCTGTGTAAAACATATGCCGGAATAGTTGACAGTCCTTTCCACTGTGGTAACTCCTGATAAATAAGGGACTAAATTGGAGGAAAATTAATGAATAACAGATTTCACATTCGTGTTGACTAACATTATCTTTTTCCAAACTTGTAGCATTTTCTGGTTTACATGTGTGCCTCTGTTTCCATAATATGGGTAACGCAGTGGCGCAGTATGTAGTGCTGTCGCCTCACAGCAAGAAGGTCGCTGGTTCGAGCCTCGGCGGGGGCAGTTGGTGTTTCTGTGTGGTGTTTGCATTTTCTCCCTGCGTTCACTTGGGTTCCCTCTGGGTGCTCCGGTTTCCCCCACAGTCCAAAGAGATTAGTAGCCATTAGTAATTCACCATCGCCATTTTGAGCTAGTATTTGAATGATTTTCTAGCCCAATGTCAAAAGTGATGACAAAACAGGTGATTTTGATCACATTTTAAGATTATAAGGCTGAACGGGGCGGTACTGAGGTAGTGCAGTGGGTATTGCTCTCGCCTCACAGCAAGATGGTTGCTGGTTCGAGCCTTGACTGGGTCAGTTGGCATTTCTGTGTGGAGTTTGTGTGTTCTCCCTGCATTCGTGTGGGTTTCCTCTGGGTGCTCCAGTGTCCTCCACTAGTCCAAAGACATGTGGTATAAATGAAGGCTGAAAAGCATTAAAAGCAATTTTCCAGTATTTCTCATTTGCAATTGGGATATCATAGTAGTTAACCCTGAAAAAGCTAAAGCAACGCAATCACTAACAGATTACTGTGGTGGTTGCAATTAGGTAAAACGCTATACACATGCAGGCTTTTCTTCTTTCATTTTACTAAACTCCCATACACTCTTGTTCACACACATACACTATGGACTATTTATCTTACTCAATTTATCTATAGCACATCTTTGGACTTGTGGGGAAACAGGAGGAAACCCACACAAACACAAGGAGAACATGCAAACTCCACACAGAAATACCAACTGACCCAGTCCAGCAATGCCAACTGACCTTGCTGTCAGGTGATGACACCCACAAATTATTATGTTTGGGGAATTTATTTATTTTTATTTTTTTTATTACTTTTTTTTTTACATTTTTTTATTAAAAAAAAAATAAATATCTGAAATAGTTAAAAGATTTTAGTTTTAATTTTTTTTATTTAAATCTTTATATTTTAAGTTATTTTGTTGAATTTAAATCTTTCTATTTCTAAAGATGGATGTCACGCTCTTAATGAATGTAACTGTTTAATAAAACAGTTGTGTGTAAGTGCACCAGAATATTTATTGAGAAATAGATCCAAATTTGATTTTTTTTAATGAGGTGCACTTATTTATGAAGTGCAATAAATGTAATAATATATGTAATAAAATATATAAAAAGACAAGAAAAGAAACTAGAAAATGTTGTCTCTCACTCATCTATGTTCCTTCCTATAGAGAAACAATTTTAAGAAATTCCAATCTGGATTTAAAAGCATTTCATACCACAGATAAAGCACTTACAAAAGTTATTTAATACTAATAATACGGTTTTTGAGGGGTCACCGCACGCCAGTCGCTTGAAGGTGTTACCAGTGTACAACTGTCCAATAAGAGGACCTGTAACAAAGGATGGAGCAACGTCTCTGTTTTGATTGGTTAAGAGGCCGAGCTGGGATGATGGACGCGCCCTGGCGAATGCGAGCTGACATTCATACTCAGCAAAACGTTCACGCGTATCGCGTGATTCAGGGGATTACTGAACATACGTATCTGCTTCCTTACTGTGTGTTTAGAAAGTAATATTTATGAGTTATCCTGACGAGTGCTTTATCAGTACATTGTTATATTCACTGGCTTTGAAAGGCCCGAAGTTTCTTGTTTAAAGTCATACTGTACATCACCTGTTTCCGGGTAACGTTAATTCAACGATCCACGAAACATGGATTTCATTCTCGGTGGCGTCGCTGCGTGTGGTGCCTGCTTCTTTACAAACCCTCTGGAGGTTGTGAAAACTAGAATGCAATTGCAAGGAGAGCTGAAAAGTCGAGGAACATACCAAGTGTATTACAGGAATGTATTTCATGCCTTTTACACGATAGGCAAAATAGATGGACTGGCTGGTCTGCAGAAAGGTTTGGTTCCCGGATTGGTTTATCAATTTTTTATGAATGGGGTCCGGCTTGGTTCGTACGCCCTCACCGAGTCCTTGGGCTACATTCACACGGACGGAAGGGTTAGCGCTACGAAGAGCACAGTGTCTGGGGCCATTGCTGGTGTTGTGGGCGCTGTAATGGGCAGCCCGATTTACCTAGTGAGTAAACTTATAACTTTCAGGGTTTTTATGTCTTATATACGAAAGAAACATATTGTAAGTGGCAACGGTTCTCCCGGTACTACTGAACATTATAGTGGGATTGCCTGGCGCATACGGCTGTCAAATATGACAACATTCAGAGCGCATACTGTAGTTCTGGGTCTAGGTTTATTTTTTATTTTTATTTTTTACCGAAATAGGACATGTTCGAATCCTCATAAGGTTTTAAATTAGACATGTGCATTTAAAAACGACTTAAATTATTTAAAGTTTATTGGTCCAATTTTTCTACGTTGATTGGCAATTGAAACAACCTAAAAACAACCTAAAAAATAAAACGAATGAATAATAGGATACATTTTGATTGGTATATTTTTCTATTATTATTTAATAATATTAATAATGTTTTTTATTATTGTTTATGGTTATTTTACAATTATTTGATGTTATTGTGATTTACTGCTAAGCCTATGACAAGCACTAATAATTACAATACATGAAATAATATATAAATTGTTGGCAAGCTCAATGATAAATCAAGTTTCTCATAAAACCTCTCTTATACATTTATTTTAATTTCTTTCAGGTAAAAACACATCTTCAAAGTCAGTCCACTTCCTCTATTGCAGTTGGACACCAGTATAAGCACAGGGTAAGTTAAGTCACCACACAAAACATCCAACAAAGAGATCTCAAATCCTTTAATTTGACTTTAATAAATGTGCAGCACCTGTGTAAACATCTGAAATCTTTATTTGACAAATGCTGACAAGTACACCAACTTCATCTGCAGTACAGACAGCAACTCAAAACGATACAACTTTAACCTTTGGATTAAAGTCACATTTTCTCAGTTCCTGCGAATCTAGAAGATTTGTTTGAGATGTCAACAGAAAACAGCTGTTTCTATAATCTAACCATATCTTAAGTAAATTGGTAGTTCTGAGTACAGAAACACTGTGTGGGGGTTGTGTTTGTAATATTAATCAAAACTTTCATGAAAAACCTGAAAAGCAGTGTTTATACTTGTATACTTTTACTTTGCTATTGTATTTATTTTTGTATTGTATTGTATTGTGCTCACATTTTGCATTTATTTTTTGTATTTGCATTTTGTATTTGAGTTTATTTCTTTTTATTTTACTGCTTTTTTACTAAATGTTTTATATACACCGAAATGAACTGTGAGAAGTCTGTATTGTTGCACCCCCAGTTGTATATATATATATATATATAGATTTGTTTCCCTTCCATGACAGGGAATGACAAATGCTCTATTTGCCATTCACAAACAGCATGGAATTTTGGGCTTGTGGAGGGGAGCAAGTGCAGCGATCCCAAGGGTTAGTGTGGGATCAGCTGCTCAACTCGCTACTTTCTCTGCCTCTAAAGAGATGGTCAATGACTTGCAGGTAAGCATAGGATCAGTTGTATTTAGCTGAAATACATGCTGGGTCTTGATATGTATATATTTGTATGTATATACATAATGCATTTTTCTTACAGACAAAAATGCTGACAAGTATGCCTGTTAATACATAGTTTGTCACTTACCAAAATTTTAAGTATTTATATATTTACATAGGGCAATGTTTTAACGTTTATAATTTCTTTTTTCCAAGGCAGTCAACTTTTTAATTAATTTGCTGAATTAATTTGTCAGCACATCATTGTGGTGGATATTTAAAATTTTGATTGGGAGGTGGTGGTTGGTAATCAATATACTACTATGCTAATAAAAGTTGACATATATACATATTTACATAATTTTTAAAAATAATTTGGACAATGACGGTTGTCGATTTGGTTGCTTAGGTAAATACGTTTTTGTCCAATAAAAACATTCCCTCTGCCTACCTATAAAGATGTGCTATGACTAGACATATTGTAGTATAAATTTCTGAAACGTCTTTTAGTTTTTCCTGCCACAATTTACTGTTTTAAAAGAAAATATGCTAACAAAGGAAAAACTATCATGTCATAAAATCCATGATTAATGTCGTAAAGTCCTAAGGTGCATTGGCTACGCCATTCACAAAATTTAAACTGTAGTAATTATTTGATGATAATACTCATGTTTCTAGAATGATAAACAAAATGGTGTAATTTAGGTAATAAATTTAAAACATTTGGAATGAAACAAAAACAAAAAGATACCAATATTTATTTAAACTGTTTTCTAAAATGTTTTCTAATGCTGCAAAATAAAATGATATAACAAATAGTAACAAATAGAAAATTCAGTTCAGTATTTAGGTGTTTGTATTTATTGTGGCAAAGACAAGCAAGTAATTAGATGCTATCAGTTTTTACAACAGTACTTTACACTAGTTACCCTTGATGTATGAAATCCCCTGAGAGATATTTCACATACAGTTATAATAACATCACCAGTTCACAGAACAGAAGAGTTTGTGATGTTTACTAACAACATGTGATGATGACAGAACACTTCAAGTAAACTATTCCTGTTAAAACGTAACTGTTCAAGAAAACCTGTTTGGTATTTTTATTTTCTAAAACAAGCAATGTTTTGTCAGCAATCAGTTTTTTCTTTTGTTATTTGCAGGTGTTCTCTGAGGGCAGCTGGTTAATTGCTCTCAGTGCCGGTATGATTAGTAGTGTAGTGGTTGTACTAGCTATGACTCCTTTTGATGTGGTCAGTACTCGACTCTACAACCAGCCTGTGGACCATCTTGGCAAGGTGAGGAATTATATCCAAACACACT